AAATGCTGCTACAAAAAAGCAGAGACTTCACATAAGCAAAACACAATATTTCAGAACGTCTTAGAACCCGCACTGAAAATTGAACTGACTTGCTAAGAGTTTTTATCAGAGGTTTTATCCTAGTTCAGTCCCATAATACATGGAAAGTGGTGTGTATATAGTTTTTCCGAGATCGTGGGATCTACAGCACGTGGCACTCAAAGAATACAAGTTGCAGGACTTGAGTTTGTTTTTGGTTTTGTTTTAAATGAGAATACTATTTTTGAAGGAGCAAAAAGCAGAATATGACTAAAACAGTTAACACAAAAAGCTGTACTTACCGCATGATGATATAACATAGGAAAAATAACTTAATGGCAATACCGAAGGTGGCCTTGTAATGGCACTCATAAATATACATCCGCTTTAGAAAATTTATCAACCTATGCAAATGCTCAAGTGCAACAATCCCTCTTCCACAAAAACGCTACCTTTTATGAATAAAAACATATTCCAACCAGCCCAATGCTTAAACTAGCTAACAAACCTATTCAGTTTGCATGAAATTTATTAATAAACAGCTCTGTACAAAACTTGACTATTTACTTCCGGCAGCTTTGCCGCTAAAGAGGTTGCATCATTTCCTTACTGCACGTGTCTCCTTTGCAACCTTTGTGACCTAAAGATTTATACCTTCGAAGTGGGATTAGCACACACACACAAGCCTGGCTGCTTTATCATAGTGAGATTATTCTAGCTACAATAAATGCATCAAAACATACAGCGTAATTCATTGGTATGAAATTAAGTGTACAACCTAATTTCTCCACAAGGGTTACAAATTGCCTATAGTGCCTTTTAAGTGTTTCTGCTTATAGCAGCGGACTCCTGAGAAATCTGCAACTGCACTTGCCTTACTGTAGTAGGGGCAGTGGTTTAAACACACTTTGCACTTCCTAAACATCTGGTTTTAGTGGGGTTTTATTACATTGAAATAGAAATGAAGAAAAAAGACACTTTTTAGGTACTTTGGATTTTGTGATTTTCTGTGTTAAATAAATTCAAAATACAGTGCGTACTTGTGCAATCCAATCAGAATAACAAAGCTTTGGCTGGGTCTCTCATACACTATACAAAAAAAAAAATCAGCCTGATGCAAGAGCTCTACTGGCAAGGGATAGCAGTATTACATAAAAACAGTAAAATGCTCATCAGAAATGTCAAATGCCTTCACGCCCCTGCATTTTTCTCTAAGGATCATTTAAGTCAAACTGTTGCAGAGAACTAACGTCATTTCTTCATATGTCTCCCTATAACTTCAGGGGCTGTTAATATCACCAGTTAAAATAAAACAGTGTGTTTGTAAAATCTATAATTTTTAAACTGAAAGTATTTACACGTCAATGTTTGGTGAAGGGGAAAGGAAGCTTTCACTTCTACCCTGACATTGCAGCAAGCCACTGAAACTTGACTGTCACAACCCAGCTGTTCCACAGTCCAGTGCCTTTTCAGAAGGCTACTTATGTGGAACAGCTAAAACACTTCAGCAGTCAGTTTGCTAGATGAGGTGTAACAAACGTTGCTGTACTAAGTGCAGTGTTACGGGTTTCAGCCCTCAATAAAGTCCTGAGTTTACCACCCTACAGTAACGTGGCTTTTCTCTCACTATGAGGCTGTCTAATATTATAGCCTTATATACTACAGATGCTAAAATCACCTGAATTATATTCATTAATCTTAGCTTTTGTGACACTACATGTGATCTACCAATGTTTCCATGCAGGCTGATCAGGACTTCACCCTATCACTCATCCTATTATGTCTCTACCTTGTTCAACAATCTCACAAAAGAGAGAGCATCATAATTCATTACAGAATCTAAGTGTTCTTTTGTGGTTTTGTGGTTTGTTGATGGTTTGGTTTTTTTTTTTTTTAATCATTGCTTCCAAGAGTACTTGCTCACCAAGCAAATGATGCGCTGGTCACCAGCCTTCTTCAGCAGCAGCTCTGGACCAAACCCACTGACGCCCATGACTTTCAGTGCCTCTTCACCATGCAATGTGGCATTTTCTTAAGGGCCCGTCTACTGCAGGCTGCAGCACCCTTCAGCCCAAACACTCCGCACAGCTTAGTTGCACACAAGTGCAGTTAGTACACTCACCGCAATTAGAAAACATCTCCCTTGTCAAAACAAATATGAAACCAAATGGTTTTCAGAAGACAGATCTCCAAGTTACACACACCATACATGCAAATTAGGCACACTCATATTTAGTCAACTTCAATCAGCTCTCTTTGCTCTGTCACAGATGCATACAGAGTACCTCTTCCTCTGGAGCTTCTCTCACCCCAAAGTTGTCCATGGGATACTAAGTCTACCTTTTTCTTCTTTTCAGACATGTGTCTAAGGCAACTCTCTCTCATCCCCTGCACTCTGAAATTCTCAAGTTCCCAAGCTCACGTACAAAGCAAAAGATAACTATCTTAGCCAGCTTGAGCCATGTGCCATAAAGTCTCGTAGAGGAGATGCAATACACCCAGACTACAGTTCATGTGCCTTCCCTTGCATACGGACTAAAATACATCCTGTATAAGCATAGGAAGTAGACCTCAGGACATATCCCTGTGACCCCAGGGCACGATCAGTAAGTTGTCTCTGCCTCAGTTGCCTGTCCTGTTTTCAAAGCCTCCAGTGAAGGAAGGCTCCTTACCCCACCTGGAATAATCTAGTCTCCTTCGCTTAACTAGGTGTATTGTAAGGACATTTTCCTAATGCTGTACTTGCCTTTTAAATGAATAGCCTGTATCTACCATCAATGTGGAGAAATGACTGTTCCTATCTTCTCTATAGCAACTTTTCCCATATCTGAAGACTGTTTTCACATCTTCCTTCAGTCTCTTCTTTGGATTAAAGAATACTTTTGATGTCTTTGAGTACCTTCTGTCCTCCAGACTCTATCCAGCTACTCCCCATCTTTCTCAGGTGCCCCAACATGGGGAGGTACTTCAGGTAAGGCCTTACCACACCTTGGTAACACAGATATACCACTACACTTCTCACAGGCTGCACTGTTGATGCATCCCACTGTAATGTGTATCCTTCTGCAGCAATGAGTTGAGTGCTCAGTTTGTCATACTCGATACCATCCCTGCCCCAAGGTATTTTATGCAGTAAATATCCACTCCCTCCTCTGTTTTGTGCAGCTGACTATTCCTACCTAAGTCTAGTTCCTCACATGCTTTATTTTTCCCAGTCATTTATCCTATTTTTCATGATCAGTTTTAATTCAACTCTTGTCTGCCAGTCTGCTACAGCTCTGTCAGCTTGGCATGTATTACTCAGATAAATCAAAAATTTAATTATTACCTCCAAATGACGACCTACCTCTACATATCCTGCAGAAAGCATAATTTCTTACATATTTTCCCCCCATATTCTTTCTATTAAAGCCAGTTTCTGTTTGGTGACTTGCCACATACAGTTAGGGATTTCTAAGGACACATTCCAATACCCTAATGAGCTTTAAAACACTCCTGCTATTTTAAAAAAAAAAAAAAAAAGCATTTGGTACAGATTTCCTTCTGTTAAAATTCTTCCCTTTCAAATCTAGTTTTAAATTACTCTAACACATGAAAGATTCAAATCTCAACAGCAGTTTTCCAATCACATTGTATTTTAGTGCAGCCCTACAACATTAGTCACAGAAATTATTTGAAAATATTTTTTCGTTTGTTTGGAAGTAAACTTGCCATCGGAGTTATTTTGTGACAGCCTTCCTTCCTACTCTTTGAGGCTTTTGTCACATTTCCTAATCAGTGAAGCTCTGTGGTTTTACAATAATTTAAATTTTTCTCCAAGACCTCCATTTCTAATTAAGGCATCTGGCTTTACAAAAGGAAAAATAAAACATTACTAATACAAGTGGTTTAGGTTGTTTTGGTTTGGTGGTGGGTTTTTTGTTTGTTGGTTTTTTTAAACAGTTCTAAACCATTTTAAACTTCATGTACCTTATATGCAGTTTATGTGATGTAGCTACAGAGATTTAAGTAGCATTTCTTCAGGATGTTCTGCAACTTGTTGCTGGCTTGGCTTCTGCAGTAACTTTTCTGCAAGCTTTTCAAACCTGTGCTGATACAAAGTTTTCATAGTGTGTTCCGTGCTAAGTTATCTGTATGTACAGGCTTGCTACAAAAGAAACCTGTGATTCCTGATGAATCTAGATTAAATAGAATTGTGTAAATGCCTCCCATTTAAATGTCGGGTGGACATGATTTGAATTGATTATAATAGAAAAAGCACAAACAGTTTTGTCATGTATTTGCAAACAGTATGTGGCATGTCAGTTTGGAAAAAGTTAACATTTAATTGCATCCGGAAGATAACAGTAGAAAAGTGTTGGGGTGAGGGATAAGGAGCCTTTCCTTTTCATTCTACCATGGAATAGACTGAAAGAGAAACAATTTTGTCATTCAACAATAAAAATAAAAAAGTAATCCTTAGCAAGTTTTTGCATTATTGTTTCCAAACTGTTCACTGAAACCAAAACAAAGGGCCAAAACGTGCTTGCCTTGCTCAAGAGAATAATCCCACCTAAATCAACAAGACTGACTATGCAAACATGGACAGCAAAGTTTGGCCCCAAATGAACATCCCCATAACTAGGGAAAACACTAATCACCAAAGTGCACTTAACACCATAGTAGCTACAGTTTCTTTATACATGCACATTTGTGCGACACTTTGTACATTAAACTAGCCAATGGAATATAAATAAGTGTGCCGCCTCCTTTTAAATATGAACATTAATAATGAAGCACATTCACATTGTTGCCTTTCAAAGACCTTTTTGAAAAAAAAAAATAAAAACACCTTCCCCAAAATAACCTGGAACATGTTGTTAAATATAGCACATATGATTCAAAGAATGGTATAAGGTAGAAGAACTTTCACACACAAAACTGGTATTTGCTGTATAGTTGGAGTGACTTATGAAAATCCCAAGAAAAGACAATCCTCTCACCAGGAGAGGAAGGTAACAGTTGTAGTGTCAATTCAGTTTCTTCTGCAGCAGCTTTTTTGTATCTTCAGCGTTTTCAGGGCTGAAGTCAGTACAGATGCCATTAGGAGCAGAAAGAGATGAAGTCTCCAAGCCACTCTCAGCTCCCATCTGATCTGCATAGAGATAGTCTTCTGCAAAGTGTGGGTGCAATTCAGCAAATCTGTAGAAGTCATCTAAAAAAAAAATTGTTGTTACACAGAATCAACTCTTTGAAAGGGAAGGATGCTAAATCTGAATACTTACACATATATAATCACATGATCACTTTGGAGAAAAATAGCAGCAGTTAGCATAATGCTATCCCCACAGCTTGTTTTAGCTTCTCAGCAGAAGTTTACCACATCCCCAGAGCTGAGATGCCACAAAGAGTTATCTAAGCCCTCTTAAAACACTTCAGAGCAGAGCTTAGCTTGTATGGTGAAGGGGTAAACAGGCTCAGATTTGCATTAAAATGCATGAGAAGCACCGCATGCCCTGACATAGCATCTCACTGTTCACTGGGGGAAGGGCAGAAGCCCTCCAGCTGAGGAACCACCAACAGCAAGAGCAGTCATTTCTTAAAAATCTGGGAAGTCTTTTGCAAACATGCCCTTTAATGCTTTGCACTCATAATTCTCTTTAACTAACAGCAGTTGTCATTGCTGCCTTCCGCTTTCAAGATTTCAGCATTTCAAAACTCCCAATATTTTGGAGAATAATATTGAGAAGATAATTACTTTGTGACACATCATGAAAAAACTGATTTTAATGTTGGGTACTAATAATATGATAGAAAGAGCAAGATTAGTTCTTGGGCGAGCAGGGAATTCCTAACGTCAAGTTGTTACATTTTGTGTTAACAATGAGGCACTGAAGTCTTGCCACAATTTGCCCATATGACTGTTTATTCAGACATGATTCGAACACAAGATACTGTACAGGATTCAAGTCATAAGAAGCTATTCTCATAATGTAAACTGACACTGGAAGAAGCTGGATGCGAATATTATCACTAACTCATTCACCTACAGTGTATCACACACAGCCCACTCAAATTCACTTTGTTATCCCTGAAGAGCTCATGATCAGATGATGCTGAGAGCTCCCTGGAGCACGGCGTAGATGAAAACTGAAGTAGCCCCTCAGAGGAGTGAAGCCCAGCTCCTCTTGGTACAATTGGGCTGGTGTGCAAGAAGGAAACTACCATGGCTTTCCCTCTCCGCCACCCTGCTCTTTCTGAGATGGGAGTGTTTTTCTCAATATTGCAAAGGGCCAGGGAATTTGGCTCACGGGGGCACTGAAGATGGAGGTCACCCCTGCCTCTGAACTGTTACAAAGGGATATGCGGGCAGAATGCAATAAACATAACTTCTGCTTTCCGCAAAGAAGTGGGTATCCTTTACTCACAGCTTATATGGATCTAAAGTATTCTGGACCCTTTAACTTCAACAAAAGCTGATGATGTTCAGGCCATGAAAACCAACACTATCATCTGTGTTGACAACCTGTATGTACAACAGGCTGATTGACTGTGCAACTTATAAAGTCTTCAGGGAAAAAAATAAATGTTCGAAAATGCATATAGCAAAAATTCTTCTTTCGATAATATTTAATACAAATTAAATTTTAAAAAAAAAATAATCTCATAGCAAAGAATGTGATGCATCTGACTTTTTCAAGAAGGAAACGTAGAACATTCTTTTGTATTTAAAATATTTAACAGCGGTAGTAGTTGCAATAATATATTAGAAATGCTTGAGTGCAAACTGATTCATCAGAATCAAAACAGTTAAGCATGTTCAGTGAATCCAACTAAGTACATTATACTTCTGCAGCTAAGAAGGACAGCAATCGGCTATGAGCCTTAACTGAGTCTGGCCTGCAGCAGACATGAAAGCATTCCCTTTTTTCACAGGGACATGTTAAGCCCATCCCAAGGATTGATCCCTTTTTGTAACAACGCATATAATGTGCGCATCATATCAATGACCGTGGAAAAAATAGCCTTTTTTGGGAAAGCTCTTTCTGATAGTTAGCCCAACTAAGGAAAGATAAGTATAAAAATTTCAACAACAGTACCAAAGATGTTCTTACAATCACATTAAAGCATAATCCTTTTTGCATGGGAAAGACTAGAATATTTACTGTAGATTCAAGTAATTCTTCAAAAAGCTACTATATCTTTTCAGAAAATAGATTCAGAAAATCCCTTGGAGTAGTTGATCATACAAGTATGACAGTCTATATCCAGATCAGCATCCCAACAACTCTGTCAGGATCCATCCCTCAATGTTTTATCAGTACTGGATCCAAATGAAAAACCTCAGATTCCAGGAAGGACTGAATTGAACAGGATAATGTTTCTGATCAATCTCAGTAAGGAGACATTTTGGGTCTTGCTGAAACAAGTCTTGAAGATATTATGGAATATTTAGCAAAATTGTACACAGCAGAGCTCAAAGAAATGTGCTTGAGATCCCATTTGCCTCACTCAGAAACGTGAGACGAGGCAATGTAGAAAGAACGAGCTATTCCAGCGTGACTACTAATCGCAGGTCTCATCTTGTAGCTCAAGTGTAAAGCAACTGTGAAGAATTAGACTTGAGGAAAAGATCACTTTAGTCATTTACTTGGGAAAAAAGTAATTTTGCTTCCTACCCCTACTAAGAGGAAAGAGACAAGAAGAAGAAAAGAACCCAAAATGGAGTTCTGTCTATACTGTCTATACTTTTGCATTAAGTATGCATATGTACTACAAGAACTTCAAGGTTTTTCTCCTGCCTTTGCAATACCCTCCTACTACCTGATGCTCCTGATGGAAGCTGCATGTTCATAGATCTCTAGTTTTTGTTCCCCCTCAGTTGCGCAGTTACTTTAGTGTAGTGAACTTAACAGGATAATCCTGTGGTCAATACAGGTAAGAATACTACATTTTAAAGAACAAATAATTCTTCCTTTTCTGAAAGTTCATCCATATAGATATTCACAATATTGCCAATTCCTCCTTTCTTCTTGTTACCAGCAAGCAAGGCAGAGTTTTCAGAACACTTTTGCAGTCACCATTTGTCTAATCAAGAGCAGGTGGAGAGTTTCCTCAAATTTGTGATGCCCACGTACAGAACCTATTCTAATTCTCCAGAATCATGTCTTAAGATTGAGAAATCTTGCCTCTCTCTAGATTACAGTGAAGGGATGACCTTTGGATCAAGGTGCATCTAAACAGTTAAGCCAACAGCACACTGCTTAAGAGAACTGAAACAATATGCAAATCTTTGGCAAACAGTGGTTTTTCAAACATGCGACAAAAATCCAGACTTCTAACAATTCAGATCCAAGATTATCAATCTAGTTATACAATCGGATTTTGCTACTGGTTATTCTGTTTACCTGCAACCTGAGCTTTTCCTTTGGGATCAGATCTCTGGCTTCAAGGACTCTGCTACATGTGCAGCAATTTACGTTTGATACTTTGGGTATTTTATTTTTTGTTCTTACAAGTAGGACTGAAGATTTAATATTCCTGCTTCACATTCCAACAGCCTAGAAAGAAGGAGCTTGTGAGCAGAGCCCTCTGCTGTGTATATCTAATGTCGCTATTCTTCCACCAGATACAAAGTTCTGATTTCTCAGAACTTGTCTGATCAGTGCCTTCAGAAAAGGTGTAATCTGCAACGTTTTCCACCTCTCCTTCCTCAGTATTGAAGTGCAACAAATGGAGTACGTGGAGAGTTGCACATATTCTCAGGAAAGGCAAGAGACTGAATGTTTACTGCAAGAACTTTCAAGACAGAAATGCAATACCAAAAATTAGTTTTCCTCTTCTAATTATCTACCACAAAAAACTGGACATTTATTCTTACTATTAAGCTTTCAGATATGTTAAAATCTCAGTACAATATTGATATTAAGTTCTATTATAAAATTCTTTTCTCTCAGAAAAGAATCCAAGCAAAGTTTCAAAGAAGGGATGTAAACACCATCCTACTTTGTACAGCCTCACAAAATACTACTCTTGACTACAGGAAATAAAATAGTGAAAATGAGAGCTAAGCACTTCAGTGCCTGCTGCGGTGGCTCAGTGGTCCGGATTTTCTTGTGATGGGAACATAACGACCATTCAGGGGAAAAGTACAAGTGTAAATGCAGCTAAGTACTATTAAAGATGGATATTAAAATATGAAATCTTTGGTAACTCATATGAACTGGTTGGAGTTCACTTGTACACTATTTCAAATTTAGCTATTCTCAAACGATGAAGGGTACCAAAATTAGAGTTCTGCTAGGCTTACCATCTTAGATTCTGTGCTAGTATTTTTGAAGCTGGTGACGGGGGCGGGGGGGGAGCACAGCTTTACATATATATTGTATGACTGAAATGTAGTAGTTACTAGTGCAGAAATTGTGATTTACTAACACTGATGTCTCACAATTTATAAGATTTCTACAAATTAAATACATACTGATTATGGTAAAGGAAAACCACTAGAACAAGGCATGTCATAAGCACTTCTACTGCAGGTATGTAATATGTTGGCTATCAACAACTCAGTTCATACTTAAATAACTAAATTTAAAACCTCACTGCATAAAAGATGAAGAATCTGAAGTAATACACAAGTACTTTGATTCCCAGCATAATCTATTCATCTAGATCTCTCAATTTTTCAAATGCAACTTTCTTGCCACCATATCACCTGCATTACAGACTATGTATTGAGCAGCCTGGTTAATAACCCCTTGTTTC